ACTCTTTCTACCCAGTAATTTCTTATTGTTGCCTAGCTATTTCATTTCATAGTTGTAAATATCTTCCTGGGACTTGATTATGTAATACATGTGATGCCTTGCAAAATGTCTTTACCTTGCTTATCCCTTTGCACCCTTATCATATTATGGTCTCAAATTGAAAGTTATGTAGAAATGGGGCGCACACCCTCTACTAGCAAGCATAACAAATATTGTACTCATTTGACAATTAAAGCCTTGTTATTTCATATAATTAATTAAGTATGTATTGCCCTGGCAAGAATGAAATAAAAGAATGAAACCATTACCAGGCAAACATGAAATGAAATAGCTAGGCAGCAATAAGAAATTGCTGGGTAGGAAAGAAATAACCCTGGGGAGGCAATGAAATGAAAGGCTAGGCAACAAAGAAACAGGAAGGAAGTGAGACTGAGGGGCAATGAAATAAATGGCCAGGTAAAAAAGAAATAGTTATGAAAAAGTATAGGGAAGGAATAAAATAGATATGAAACAACTATGGGAGGGAATGAAACACATTTCATAATGCTTGCCCTACATTTCTCATTTCATAAAAAACCTAGGCAGTGTCCAAAAAGTTGTGCAGGCACTTGCCCAGACTTTTTCATAAACAATGGTTGATACTAGTGACGGGGGGGGCCGAATATATGATGGTCTTCAATGATGGCGGCTCCTCTTTTCGACAGGGATACTTCCTGGGCAACAAAGCAAGCGCGACGATGCTCGATGCTCTTGAGGAGTATCGCGTGAGGGCAGAACGGGAGACAGGGATGAGGCTCATCCGAATTCCTGTTGACATGGGATCAGAATTTTTCAACGACAAGTGGCGTGAGTATACGAAGACTCACAGCATTATTGTGGAATTCAGTGCGCCTTACGCCCATGGCCAGAATGGGATGGCCGAGCGTGGGATGAGGACGATAATCGAGGGTACACGTTGCCTCCTGGTTGATTCAAGCCTACCACCATCTCTGTGGGCGGATGCAGCAGCGACAGTCATCTACCTTCGTAATTTTGTGCCCTCTGCTCGTCACCCTGGAGTTGTTCCTGCTGAGCGATGGACTGGAAAGCGGCAAGACATCTCTCACCTTCGCCCTTTTGGATGCAATGCGTATGCCAAGGTTCTGGTGAGAAGACCGTGTCACGCAGGAGTGAGAATAGTGTAATCAGACGCGCTGACAAGATGCGTGAACACCTAAACAACACACACACACACAAACACCTTAAACACTTATCACCACAGGTACGTGCTTGGTACTTCAAGTTTGGGTTCGTACGGTAAACAGAATTACCACACTTGTTTTGTTAGAACTTAAGTAGAAGTTCGGGGAAACGTTTTTTGTATATTTTATATCACTTGTCTAAGTCTAGTAGACCTTTTTGGAACAAAAGGTATTGTTTTACGTGCGGACACAGTATAGAATTCGAAACTTAGTAGTCTTTGAAGGGAAACGGCTTTTATTGGGACTGTCTCGGTGTTCTGGGATTGCGTTCTAACTGTATACGAAGAAATGACAAGGAAATTGTGCTTTGTAGACTTTTATAACTCCCTTGAGCTTTTATTATGCCTCTGATGCGGTCCAAACTAGTCTTAAAGACTCTTCAAGCACGCTCACTTGGATTCCTCGGTAATAGCAGAGAGCTCTCTTACTAATTGACGAGACAACCTTACAAAAGCTTTGTGATCCCCACTTAACACGCTGGTTCCGGGCACACGTTACTTATGTCTGTGAAGAAAAGTCCTTAAATTGATTACAAACTTATCCACTACCTCAGATGCTACTGGGAGTGCGACAGCTGGTCAACGCGGGGGATAATTCCTTGCGTTTCAGCCTGCGCGCGTCCTCTTTTTATACTATTCTATGTTTTCTATTTATATTTACATGTCCGTGCATTGTCCGAAAGGTCGGACGAATTAATACTGATTTTTAGTAAAGGTTTGAAGTGGCTTGGTTGTGTGTGGCACAACTGAGCTGACTTCTTTTAAGTTTTCGTAGTGTTTTCTCTATTGTGGCGACACGACGCATCAGTATTGATGCGTACGCGGGAATCGCCGTAAACGGTTTTCACGATCGGTTCAGCTGAGACGAACGGTCCGCTTAGTGATTTTTCTCTCTATTATTAGATACTATGCCCGGGCCTTGGACCGCACGGCAAATCGTTCATAGTTTTTCTCTTTTGGCAGGCTTCGGAATATTTCACAAAGCTTAGTTTTCTTGGGTCAATGATGCCATGATTTGTGATGCATTGATGCGCGTGATGCACGTGATGCGTCTCTCCACATGACTTCTTGGATCATGCTTCGTAGCACGTGACCGAATGACTTCTCGCGTCAGGTACGCGTCGAGTTTCTACGCTCGCGCGTTTATCTTTAGAATTAATATCTTTTAATCCATAATAAAGTGAGACCCTGGTTTGGTGTAAACTCCAACACCCTGTGCGGGGGTATTTTTACTCTAGAACACTTGGTAGCGTACTATTTCATGGTAGTGTAGCCTTTTATTAGACTTCGAGTATATTGAGGTGATTCGGTCACGAACCGACCGCAATTCCTACTGTCTAAGGCATGCACATTTCTCGGATGTAGACTTTAATCAACTAGACCAGGTTGCGTCTAACGATCCTATGATCAAT